ATTCCACTCTTTGCATCCAAGTTCAACTCTTGAAGATTCTTCATAGAAGTGAAGTTATATTTTTGTCTTTCTATTCCTGGCTTATTTCATTTACTATAATGAATTTCCTTCTTTATTTTTTAAGGCTAAGTAGTACATTTTATTTGTCCTGTTCATCTGTTATGGACAGTTTGGGTCCGTATCTTTTTTTTTGGTCGGTCGTGGGGCTTGAACTCTGGGCCTGGGTGCTGTCCCTGAGCTCTTCAGCTCAAGGCTAGCGCTCTACCACTTGTGGCTCCATATCTTGACTACTGTGCACAGTACTTCAATAAACATGGGAGTGCCCTTGTCTCCCCCACCTCCCTGGGATGTACATCCAGCAGGGGCATTGCTGGATCATATACTAGGTTTCCATGAGAAGTCTCCATACTGTTTTCCATAATTAATCTACAGTCCCACCAACAGCGTGCAAGGGCTCTCTTTTCTCCACAGGAGTGGTATCTTCTTACAATTATATTTTAATTGGTTATTATTAGTTTGGTTTATGTGTGCTGATCCATTTTCAGGGGTCTTCCAGACTGAGTGTGACCCAAGAAGCACTTGATATTGTTGGGAATTGTGGGTGGACCTTCAGGGATGTCATCTGTACATTCAGACCCATGGTTACCCGGATGCAAACACACACGCCTTTAAAACATAATTATAATTATTTTTGTTTTTCTGGCCCCTAAGATTACAATAAACTTTTTGTCCAGCTAAGTATTTGGGATGAGTTGAGGGCAGGTCAGAATAGGGCAGTGTTGTTCTTCTCAGTAGAGTAGAGATAACAGAGTTTAATCACCTCTCATTTCTGGGGCTTGTGATACTGCCTTGGAGAAGGAGCACTGGGGTTGGCTGTTGGCCTAGCCACCTGGCTTCCAAACCGCCTGACCATGGTCTCCTTTCGAGAACAGCTGGTTCTTGTGGGGTGACTGATCACATCCTAATATTCCCTCAGGTTGCAAGACACCGACTATTTACCTTCCATCAGAAAGTCCAAGTTGCAGTCTTTGCAGTTCTTGTGTGCTTATTTTTGTTCTGATTGAGAAAGTTTTATTCTCCTACTGGAAACTAACTGCTTGGAAAGCGGTGCGTAAATACACATTATGTCCTTGTAAAGAGAACACGGAAGAGCCGCAGGAGATGGGGGAATCAGAGGACTTGCTTCGGGTTTGGGTACTGTCACTTAAGATATGTCACTTGGACATGATTTTTGTGAAGTCACTCAGGCTTCCGGTTTTCAAATAGTTGTAAGTATTGGGAGGAATGATAAGGAATGTATGAGATTGTGTGACCCAGGGTGGCCAGGCTATAAGGGCTCCTCTTTTGCCCATCGAGTGGTTAAAATGATCCCAACCACACACTGCTTGCTACTTCTACAAAAACCTTCCTTTCCTTATTAGTGAAGTGGAGACAGTAGGAAAATTTTTTCTTGCTGTCACTCTTCGGGTTAGTGTATGGAATGCACGTAGCTCACAAAAACCACTCAATAAATATTTGTTGTGGTTGTATGTCTGAGTGAAAAACACAGTGGGAGCAGACAGGCAGAGGTGGGAATGACAAACAGCAGCTCAAAGGACTCAAGGGCCTGGCATGCAACCTGGCTGATGATTCATGTCATGACCACAGGTGTGCTCCAGGGATGGCAAGTGAGTAGTGGTAAGGATGCAGGTTAGAAGGAAAGTTCAGCAAGACATGGGGACATTGGCTATATGTGCAACCAAGCAACAGGCAAGAAAGGGATATCAGATGACTCTGGAATGTATGGCGTGGGGGACTGGAAATGGTGGAAAGTCTTCTACATATTGAATGTGCATCATTGCTGCCTTTTCTTTTCCTCTGAAGGGCAACGAATGCAATAATAAATGCAGCACCTGCCCTCTTCTGTTGTTAAAGCATGGAAAGTATAAACCAAGTATAAACTATATGTCAGGGGGCTGGGAAGGTGGCTCAGTGGTAGAGCGCTTGCCTTGTATGCACGAGGCCCTGGGTTCCATTCCTCAGCACTACATAAGCAGAAAAAGCCGGAAGTGGCGCTGTGGCTCAAGTGGTAGAGCGCTAGCCTTGAGCTGAAGAGCTGAGGGACAGCGCCCAGGCCCAGAGTTCAGGATATATATATATATATATATATATATATATATATATATATATATATATATATATATATATGTCATCTTTGGAAAGTCATTACAAAGAGGCAAGGTCCCACTTCCGTTCTCCCTCCACCAGAAGGAATTTAGCAGCAGTATCTGTGGTTACTCTGTGGTGGTTATATTTTTAATCTCCTGTGTGTATCCCCAGGAAGTGAGTGTAGTGGTTAAGTTCATTGGTTCAATTGTCTAAAGTCACTCAACCTAGAAGCTTTTCTTTTGAGTTTACACTGTAGACAATAATATCCTGCATTTAGCTCCTTTTTCTGTTTAAATAGTACCTTTGTTAATATCATCTCATTTGAACCCTGATTGAAAAGGCCTACGGAGCAAGTCTGGCAGACACATTCTTTTGCCATTTGATAGAAGAGCAAGCTGAGACTGTAATAGAGAAGCAACATGTTCACTTATCCAGCCACCAAGCGGAAAAAAAACTATATAATCTGATTCTATCACTTCCTCAAATATACCAGAAAATGTGACCAAAACAAAGAAATAGGGTAGACCATCTTAAATGTTTCCTTATAAAATTATGAAGACCAGGAATAAACATGTGAACAATTAAAGTATGTCCTCAAGCTAAATGCTCCTCAAGATGACAATGGAAACTATAAATCAGCCGGGCACCTACAATCCTGAGTATCATGGTTTAAAGCCAGCCTAGGTAGGAAAGTCTGTGAGACTTATCTCCAACTAACTACCAAAAAGCTAGAAATGGAGAAGTGGCTCAAGTGGTAGAAGCCTAGACTTGAGCAAAAAGAAACTCTGAGGACTTGGCCCTGAGTTCAAGCTCCAGGACTGGCAGAAAACAAAGTGAGAGACATGGGATTAGTTGATGGGGCATGGTGTGCTGCCAAGTACAGGAGGATGTCCATTTCCCACAGCTTAGAGCTTATCTAGATAAGACTCGCTGGAAGTCTGAGGAGCTCCAGGGATGAAGGGACAGATGTCCAAAAGAGGACTCAGGGAGGACAAGATGCTACTTCTGTTTATTGGATGCCTGATGGGTGGAAGAGTCCATGGTCCCCCCCATATCCCCAAAAGTAGATCTGGAAGTCACAGGAAGTAAGCCTCCATCTTCATACGTGAAAAGGACTCCTAAAGCCTTAGACCAGTCAAAGAAATCTATAGACCAAGTTCCTACTTCCCCTTGCAGCGGTTGGAAGTAAGAGAAGGGGATGTGGCCCAGAACTGGATCCTTGTACCATGTGTCCTCTGACTTCAGGGGAGCAGTAAACTGAAATCCTTCTCTTTGTATTAAATAGTTACGAATTGGTTTCTCTGAGGGGACTCCAAGACGAACCCCTGGGGACTGTTAAATTGTCTGCAGACTTTCATTCTTAATCTTGAGCTCTGCCTTTTTACATCTCATGGGTGAAGAAACATGATGGCTGGTTAGGATCTTCTTGATAAGGAAACTTCACAGTCATAGTCACCGTTTCCTACAATTGGTGTGTGAAAAAGTATTCTTCTACCTTGTATTCTCCTGTCCTTAGATAATACTTAGAGCTTCACATTCAGCTTTCCTTATAGGTATATCTATCATATAATCTCCTCCTTGCCTAATTTATAAGTTAAACTTTTTAATAGGCATATATGAAAAACACAGTACATGTAGAATTTGGGAACAGCTCATGGTTTCAGACATCCACTTCAGATCTTGGTGTATATCCTGCAGATAAGTGTGAAGACCTAAGATTGTTGCTCTTCTTCAACAGGGTGGCTAATTTGACATAAAGGGCAATCGTCTAATGATTCCTATAGGCCCAAACTACCACAGTAGCTTTTCAAACTACATATAGTCATGTGTTATCTTATTTCACTGCCAAACTTGTATGTGACTCCTCCATCTTTCCCAAGAACTCTACTTCAGTTTTTTTTCTTTAATTTTTAACTCTACACTTTAAAAAAACTTGAATTATAAACCTTGGAATCGTGTTTGTTATGCACGCATCTCTCAGGTTGTGGCTGTATAGTAGTCTACTAAATGGATATGCCATCACGTAGGCAAGCTTTTCTGAATGCGGATTCCATTCTCCAAAATACCCTTTACCAGAGTGTTCATTGTTATATTTTCTTGGGCAACAGCTCACAGATTCTTACTATAAGCATGAAGCAGTGAGTTTGGAAGCGCTGGCTCTCCAGGATACTGCAGTCTCATTAGGGACCAAAGACATAAAGGCATGGAGAGCATGACTGCCAAATCTATTCTTTTATGGTTTTCCTTTAGTTTCTTCACCATCAGACAGACTTGCTAAATACAAGCTACAAATGGCCTCTCCACTAACTAACTGGATTTATATACAAGTGTCTAGCTGGGTGCCAGTAGCTCAGACCTGTAATCCTAGCAACTCACGAAACTGAGATCTGAGGATCAAGGTTCAAAAATTAGCCCAGGCAGGAAAGTCCATGAGACCCTTATCTTCAATTAACCACCAAAAAGGTTGATGTGGAGTTGTGGCTGAAGTGGTAGGCAATCCAAGTGGGAAGGCCTAGTTCTGTTTACAGGGAGAAGCCAACAGCTAATCTGGTCTAGAGGACAATTTCCCTGGAAGCTACCAGAGCTTCTGATTAATTTGAAGGGACCAATGGATCAAGAGGACATAGGGTCTTTCTGAGTTATTTCTTACAATCTCACATCGATCTATAATGATCTCAAAGAGTGTAGTTCTTAATCCTGAAACCTAAATCATTGTGTCAACACAGCTGATTTTAAAAGTCTTAGGCAAGACTTTCACATTGTGCAATCCCAGCAAAACACATCCAACGTTAGATGTAGCCTTGGGTCTGCCATTTCGCTATCTGTGAATAGCTGGAATATCCAATTTTGATATGGATAATGAAGTCATGGAAACCCATGCCATGCATCTGCTTAACGAGTACTTGGTACTGTGAATATCTGTTGTCTTTGACAGTGGCCATCCCATTTAGGTAAGCTTTCCTCCCTTCCAGGTCCTCGGATGTGGCTGTATTGCCCAAGCCGTCCTCAGCCGAGGTGTCTTGGGAGGAATCGTCACTATCAATGTCGGATTTGCTATGGCAGTCGTCACGGCCATTTATGTGACTGGAGGTGTCTCAGGTAAGCAGTGGATGAATACAGTAGTAGTATTCATCCACTCAACAATTCCCAATCTGCGGCACAGTGCTGAGTATGTTTACCTTCATTGATACCCATCTCTGTAATCCAGAAAGAGAACATATTTGATCCCTTTTTCACAAGTGATTAAGTTAAAATGGCCAACAATTGCTAAATGATTGTATATGAAGCCAGCACTTAGCAAGAGACAAGAGATAGAACTGAGAACCCACAATTGATCCATTCCTAAGCCTAACCACTATATCAGTGTCTTTAGGAGTCAATGTGGTCTTTAACGCACTCTATCTTACACTTGTAAAGCCTCTTCCCAGAAACCTTGTAAATAGCTTGCAAAGGTTATGCAAACAGACACAAGTTCCCGGACCTTTATTGCCCAGCCCAGAGAATCCAGAATCTTGTAAAATGGAAGGGCACATCTGATCTAGAAAGTCTTCATCAAATGCTTCCCTGAGGAGGGGCGGGGGTAGGTTGAGCAAGAGCTTTCTGTAAGGTTCTGAGAAGCAAAATGAAATGCTGATATTGAATGCAGCCCAGAAACCTAAGAAGGGACTGTAGAAGGAGCTTTGAATCCTTCAGCAGCTTGATATGGGTACGGAGTCCTGACACTACTGGTGACAGGGGAAGAAAGGGAACCGAGAAACCAATGCTGACTGGCCCCTGAGCTGGGTCCTGGACATCCTTCATCTCCCTTCTCCTTCACAATAACACTCTGAGGCAGGTATTATTGTCTTCACTCAACAGAAGAAAAAAATACTGGGGCTGAGAGATGGATAAATTGCTCCAGTCCTGCAGGGTGGGGAGAGGGGTAAAGAAATGGAGCAAAGCTTTGACCCAGGTCAGCATGATGATAAAGCTCACATTCTTACATAACTTCCCAATGGTCTATTGTGGTTTAAAGGGTCCAGACAGAGGACCATGCAGGTGAGCTGGCTACCTTGGTCTGTGTGATGATTGTGTGGACTCCCTGGAGCCTCCCAAAGCATGATACCTCAGATGCTCTTTTTTTTTTTTTTTCTGGCTGACTTCCTCAGTCAGACTCAAGTGCGATGGTCCAGTAAGACCTTGCTGTGTTTGCTCTTGATTTGGCATGAGCAGTGTCTCCACATAAGCCCTTGTTGAGTTTTGTTCTGAAACAAAATCCAACACAATAGCAGACTTGAGGTAGGGCACATGAATAACCCAGGGATCTTTTCTGAATATACCAAGGCTAGATTGGAGTATAGGCCTTGGGCATAAAACACATTCTTGGTTGAAAACTTAGCATGCAGGGGGCTCACAGCTCTCTCTCGTACAAGCTCAGGTAAGGGTGATTTCTTACCAACTGTGCAGGGTGGAGAATGGGCATATTTCCATTGATTTTGATTTATGAGTTTGGAGTATTGTACCTGAATGACAATCTGAACTGAGCCCTGTCATGTAATTAGCTAAGATTAATTGGTACCAGACTCTGCAATGCCATTACCATTTTTCGCCTATATACCTGCGTTCATTGACTGATGTACTTCAGGATGAAGGAGTTATCACGGGAGGAAAAGTGAAAAGTGTAGGAATGCGGTGGGAAGGGTAAGGGGGAGTGAGACAATGACATGCAGCCTTCTCACCCATGACTGAACTGGAATTTAAATTCGGGGATAGAGGGATGAGGGCCAGAAAGGAGGAAACTGTTCACCACAGGTTGCATTTCCAGGTGAGAGTTAGGGCCTAATCAACTTGTTTAGGAGACTGAGACCCCAAATAGAAACAGAGCAGGGTCTGAGGTCGGCTGAAAAATAATATAGCACTGAGTTGGAATGGGAGCCCCTGTCACCCTGTTTCTGTTTGAAACCTACCACAAACACGTGTGTGTGTGTGTGTGTGTCCTGGGGCTTGAACTCAGGGGCTGGGTGTTGTCCCTAAGCTTTTCTCTCTCTCTCTCAAGGTTAGCACTCTTTGGACTTTTGGTGCTTAATTGGAGATGAGAGCATTCATGGTCTTTCTTGTCCCAGCTGGCTTCTAAGGATCCTCAGATCTCAGCCTTCTGAGTGGCAAGGATTACAGGCATGAGCCTCCCACACCTGGCCTTAGAAACCAGTAGCTTGGAAATAAGGTAGCGGCCACAGAGACAACCAATACACCAGGCAGAAATAGAAATGTGATTAATTTTGACTGGGAAAGTCAACTGACATCTCTCTCTCTCTCTCCCTCCCTCCCTCTCCCCCCCCCCGTTAAACTACATTAACTGTAGAAAGGGAATTTATTGGGGTATTTACATAAATGGATATATAAATATCTATGGTTCTTTTGATAGTACTGGGATTTGAACTCAAGACTCCACACTTGTTAGGCAGGTGCTCTACTACTAGTTGAACCACATGCCCAGTTGGCATTGGGTATTTATTTAATTCATCTTTTTAAAATTTATTTTCTCATATCAAGTGTTTCACATAATCAGGTGGAGAGCACCAATGAATCTTGGTGCTCAGTACTGTAGTTCTATGTATGTTATCAAACTGAAAATTCTTAACATAGCTATTTCTAAAGCACTGGGTTATGAAATAGAAGATATCCCCTTACTGTAAAGAAGCTCAGCCATCCTGGTCTCTTGTGAAGGTGTCAATCTGAAGCAATCACTCAGAGCGTAGACACACCCTGTCTCTGTGGCCTCTAGGTGGTAGTTATTTTTGACACAGACTTTTGCGAATCAAATTCATCACAAAAGCAAAATGGGCTTTGCTTAATGACAGATGAACTATAGGGTATCTCTATCTCAGAATTATCTATGGGTGGTAGGGAGGAGGAAGATCTGCTTGGAGCTTAGAACCAAATCTTCAAAGAGTTCATGCCACTCACCCAAGACTCTCATCTTGTGCCTTTTGGGCTCAGCTGTGCCCCCTGGGACTCTTTATTTGAATACTTGTGATCGCCAACATGACCTTCTTGTGCTCATGTTCTTTCTACCACAGTGCTCTGCTCTGCCCCTGTGGAAAGCCACGGGTGACCACGCATCTCTGCAGGGAGAAATACCTAGAAGCCACTTGGCCCCCAGCCAAAAAGGGGGTAGAGTGCCACAGGTTCCTCTCTTTTTCTGAGCCCTTCTACCCCCTCTCAGATCCTTTTCCTAATGGCTCCTCAGAGCCTCTGGTCAGGCCCACCCTTCTAACCATCCCACAACTTTCCTTTTCCCAGAGTGTAACCTAAAATAAAGCCTCTAGCTATTTCTCAAACTTCCTTAAGTGAGAACTAAGTTGTCCCTTGCTTTGTGTGAAGAATGTTTTCTAGTCTGGGGTGCTTGGGAGGGTCTAAACAGCTAAAAACCTACCTAAGGACAATTTGATTTTAGGAGAGGGCCCAGGGGGAGGTGGGAGGTGGCCTTTATTGGAGATGCCTTCCCAGAGCTCCCTCCCTCCAGCTTTAGTGATGGAAGCTTCTAGAAGAACGCGGCTGGCTTCGGGAACATCCCACTCCCTTGGGTGTCCCTGTCCTAGCCAATGTTTCCAGCCTGGCTGGTAAGATGTCTCCCACCACCCTTCAGGATTCAAGCTCTCTTGGATTTAAAAGCAAAACACAGCAGTTGGGAGTGTGAGTAGCGTTTTAGAAAGTCCTCTGTGCTCTGATCTTGTTACCAGAAGGCCCATTCACCTACCTCAAATCTTGCCAGATTTCAGGCAAGATGTGTGAGCGTACTGAGCAGTGTTTATGGAGAATGATCATGTTAAGTAAGAATAGAACAACTCTCTCAGACGTGAAAGTGGGTCATCTCAGAATTTTCAGCATAGGTTTGAATGAAGCATCATGGGCTTGGGGCTTCAAGTCCCTCCCTACGACCAGCCCACAGAGCGTGATTGACAGGAAGGATGTGAAAGAATTTCTGGTCTCAAACACTCGGCAAATGTGACTCCTCATGACCAACTAAGGAAGTCTCACCCACAGGGGGAGAAGAAACCCCATAATCGCCACTTGATTAAAATGACAAGTTAATGACCCAAAGGGTAACTTTGGATCACTCCAACTGATTTGGGCTGGAGCCTGGACAGTGGGCCTTGATAACCCTTGTTCTCTTTTCTACAGCCGGATAGGATGATCTGTGTAACTTTGTGTAGTGGGTTGTTTTTTGCCCTCATGAGTAATATGTCAGGAGGCATGAGGCAAGGAGTCCCTTATATTTCCTTGACTCGTGGCTTATAGTTGCCTTTATGTTTACCCCCAGCTCCAGCTGAAGAACCCTTCATTTTAGGTTCTCGTTGCAAACCTCCATCACTCCAATTAACTGCCAATCAAGATGGCGGAGGCAGGCAAAAAATAAAGGACCCTTGTGGTTTAGCCAGCAGCCATAATCTGCTCACAAGAACACTGTAGCTTAGAAATTCAGGACAAGCATGGTTTCCTCCATGAAGGGAGGGGCTTCCAGATATAAACTCACCAGCCCTCTGAGAAGAGCAAACGACACAGGATTGTGATGGCCATCATGGTATTCGCCGTCACCATCATGGTCACTTGGCACCTCTCTTGTCTTACAACTATGTTCACAACCTGAAGGTCTACATTTCACTTCAACTGGTCCCCATCCAGGGACCCTGAGTCTCTCCCCTCCTCCCAGGCATAGTGTTATCCGGTGTTCCTCAAAAGAATAGCTTTCTCATTTAGGAAGTAAGAATGCTAAGAAAGGCCAGGCACTGGTGGCTCAGGCCTGTAATCCTAGCTACTCAGGAGGCTGAGATCTGAGGATCACGGTTCAAAGCCAGCCCTGGCAGGAAAGTCTGTGAGACTCTTACCTCCAATATATCACTAGAAAACTGGAAGTGGCGCTGTGGCTCAAGTGGTAGACTGCTAGCCTTGAGCTGAAGAGCTCAGGGACAGCACCCAAGCCCAGAGTTCAAGTCCCACGACCGACAAGACAAAAAAAAAAGCAGGCCTCATCTCAGGGAGAAGAGAAGAGCATCAACTTGGGGCCTGGCTTCCAGAGATTTCCATTGCTAACCCTTTTGTTTTTGTGTGTGTGTATTTGTTTGTTTGGGACTGGGTACTTACTGTCTCTAAACTTTTGTGTTCAAAGCTTGCATTCTGCCACTTGAGCCGCAGCTCTGCTTCCAGCTTTTGGTAAGAGGTAAAGGTGTTCTTGTTCCTGGCCTGCCCTCTGACATCCCTAACCACCTTCTCTTTCTTTCAGGAGGTCACATCAACCCCGCTGTGTCTTTGGCAATGTGTGTCTTTGGAAGGATGAGATGGTACAAACTGCCATTTTATGTGGGAGCCCAGTTTTTGGGAGCCTTTGTGGGATCCGCAACTATCTTCGGTGTTTACTATGGTGAGCAGGACCCTGACCCCAAAGTGATGGAGAGCTGGGTGTTAAAATCGAAAGCCAGAGTCCCTTGGTAGGAAGGAGAGGGAGCATTCTATAATCAATAGGAAACTCTTAAGTAATTAGTCTAACATTAGGTGAGCAAATTTATGAAGACTCTGCCAGGTACTGGTAGCTCACTTCTGTAATCCCAGCTACTCAGGAGGCTGAGATCTAAGGACCACAGTTTGAAGTCAGCCTGGCTAGGACAGTCTGAGACACTTATCTCAGCTGAAAAGGCATGCCAAGCAAATGTGAGGCCCTGAGTTCAAATCCAGCTGCTAGCAGAAAAGAAAAAGGAAGTGGTAATGGGGTTGGAGGAGCATATGGAAGCCTATCTTTAGACATAACCTACACTACACTGTGAACACACACCAAACAAGCAATTGGCCAATGTCTTCTCTGATCCTCTCTGTGGTTAGGTGGGAAAGGAGGTATTGTGTAGTGGCAAAGAAGATGCCCAGTGAGCATTTAGAACTTGGGACAAGGTCTTTGAAGGAAGTAGCCTGTAGAGAAAGGAGAAGCCATGTTCACCTCTACCCAGCACCGAGGGCTTCCAATCTGCAGAAGTCTTCAGTGAAACATGGTACATAATACATGTGATCAAAGACTCTAACTTGAGTTCTGGCTGTATCAGTCAGGAGCTATGTGAGTTAAATAAGTCATCTGACCTGAGAGAAGACAGTTTCCTCTTCTGAAAAAAGGAAGGACTTGAATGAACCAACTGAGGCTCTCCAAAGTCTTGGGGTTGCATGAAATCAGTCTTAATGCATGATGACTGTTCAACTGAAGACCTCAGAATCTCGAACTGGGAATAGGCTGTGGGAAGAGACAGCTCACAGAGTATTTCTTTGAGAATTAAAATCTAAGAGAATGAAGGGGAATTCAAGGGAAGATCAGAAATTCAGAAAGTCAGCTGCAGTTTGTGGCTAATATCTCATTGGCTGTAAGGGTCCTAATAGCCATTCCCCAGATACTCTTAAATGCTGGCATATAGCTAGTAAGAACCCTTGGGAACTATGAATTTTTTCTACAGCAAATCAATGCCTCCCACTTTGGCTCTAGGATGATTTCGAAATTTTCTTCTCCGCCCCTCCTGCCCCCCCATCCAAGACCAGGACTCAAAATTGGTACCTGATTCTTTTGCTATTGGCTAGCACTTACCCAATTGAACCATGGCTCCAACAACTAGGGTGGATTCATTTTCTTTCTTTCCTTTTTTTTTTTTTGAAAATTCTAAATTCCATAAAATGATTGATTCTTGAGACTCTACTGCTTAAGGATTCAGTCCAGGTTTGGGGCAGCCAAAGCCTTCCCACTCTGAATCACTATTGTGGGATTTCCGAGGGCATCTCAAACTATTGTACTCCAGAGCCAAGGAGAGAAGTTGTGCTTAGCCTAAGTCCTGGCTTAGGCTTCCCTCGACTTTCCTCAGACAACCCTAATAGACCATATCTCTGTCTTCCACAGATGGACTCATGTCCTTTGCTGGAGGAAAACTGATCATCACGGGAGAAAACGCAACAGCATTCATTTTTGCAACCTACCCAGCTCCGTATCTCTCTTTGGCGAATGCATTTGCAGACCAAGTAAGTGTAGATTCAATAAAGGCCTGACTTGGTCTTTGACATGACTTTGAAGAAGGGAAATGTGTTGGACCATTATTGCCCTAGCAGAAAGGAAGGGTTATGTTTCCAGGCAGAGGTCACTGGGGTATAACCTACTCTTTTCGGAACAGAGTTTTGTCTCTGCAGGAGTCTATCGCTAGAATTTTTGGCTTCTTCTTTAATATGCAGAGGCAACCGTTATTTATTTCCCTCACTATTGTTGTCCCTTTCATGCATGTGTAGGCTACAAGTGAAGAAATTTCTATTTCAATGCAAAGACTGAAGTACGGTAGGTGGAGCCTGAGATGTTATGGATCATAGCTGCTCTCCATGAGCCTAGGTTCAGCCAAACTCTCAAGACAGCTAGATAGTTTCTCTGCTTTACTGACATGTAAACTAGCTGCAGGCACCTCAGCATTAGTGATGTAGCCAATAGCACAACTATTCTGGTTAGTGTGTGGTGAGATCAACATGGCCAGGGGGACTCTTCCTCCCTCCTTGTGTCCTGAGAAGGTGACTGGTCATCTCTGTCAGGCTGGAGAGAGGGAAGAAAGACAGGAAAAGGAAGATGGAAGGAAAGGAAAGGAGGAAGACAGGTAGGGAAGAAGGAAGGAGAGAGGAAGGAAGGGAGGGAGGGAGAGAGGAAGGAAAGAAGGAAGGAAGGGAAGGAAGAAGGTAGAAGGGAAGGAAAGAAAGAATAAAAGGAAAAATGAGTGAATATGGTAGACAAAAAGGAAGGAAAGAAGGGAGAGAAGAAAAGAAGAAAGAGAAAAAGAGGGAGGGCAAGAAGAAGAGAAAGAAGGAAAAAAGGAAGGGAGGGAAAGAGGGAGGGAGAGAGGGAAAAGGACAACTGTTGACTGACATGATTATATTTCTGGGCTACTCAATTTCCAGATCATTTATTCTGTTTGCTCTAAATATTATTCAAACTTATTTAATAAGTTAATAGTCCATCATCTATGTAGCCAAGAAATATTTACTGGGAAGCTCCGAAGGCAGATACAGCTCCCAAGCTTTCTTTCCAGGGTCAGATGTTTGTAAACAGATAGTTCCTTTGCTAGGTGATAAGGCCAAGGACAGAAATCAAGATGGAATGCAATGGGAGTGCAGAGACGTTTCTACCCTGCCAAAGAGAGCCAGAAAGACTCTGCAGAGAAGGATGCTCTTGGGAAGAGATGTCCTTCTGAATACAAATTCTTTTAATACTATATTGGAAAGCTGATGAAATAGCAAAAAAAAAAAAAAAAGATTAAACCCTAAAATCAACTCCCTAGTTCCTGTTCTGACTCTTCAGCTTATGAGCTAGGCAGCTGGGTAGTTATTGATCAAGTTTCTTGACCTCTATGTACATTTCCTCATTGATAAACTGACGGAATTTACCTCATAGTGTTACTATGAAATTTTAATGAGATACAGCATATGCATGCTTGTGGGTGAAGCGTACAAGATGTCTATTTAGTGCATTTGAAACATCCTAAATAATAGCCACTAGTGGGTATGGGTGGCTTCGATCTATAATCCCAGTTACTCAGGAAATTAAGATCTGGAACATTGCAAATTCCAAGCCAGAGTTGGTGGGAAAAAAATTGCAAGATTCCACCTCCAAAATAACCAGCCAAGCAAAAAGCCAGGCTGGAGACATGATTCAAGTGGTAGAACACCATCTGTGAACAAGCAAGCTTAGAGAGAATGGGGAAGCCTTTGAGTTCAAGCCCTAGAACTGGAAAAAAGTCCGTCAGAGTAGCTATCATTTAGCTATTTAGGTAAAATAATAGTTTTAAAAGCCAAGAAAACATAGAGGGGGGAAAACATCAGCTATAACATACTATTTCAGAATACCTGTTACCATTTTGTATAATCTCTTACAGTTTTTCTTTTATGTGTTTGAAAATATCAGAACAATATACATAACAACTCTTGTTCTTTCATTTAGTGTCATCCAATGGGACACTGCTCTTACCAAATACGTATTTAGGAGATTTCCAGTTTTCAGTACTACAAATAACATATAAGTGAGCACGCCGATTTTATCAATGTCCAGTTCCCCAAAGAGCCAGCAGTATCAAAGTATATGCGAGGCCTGTGTTTTGAATGCATAGGGCTAAATCACTGGAGAGCCCTTTCAAAAGTGTAGTATGCAGGTTTCCTTTTTTGAAAAGGAAAGGTAGATTTTTGCAGTGGGCAGAGAGGCGGAGCACAGACTCAGCTAGCCACCTGTCTTCTTCTTCCTCTCTAGGTATTGTCCACCATGTTCCTCCTCATGGTTGTCTTCGCCATATTTGACTCCAGAAACTTGGGTGTCCCCAGAGGCCTGGAGCCCGTTGTCGTTGGTCTCCTGATTATTGCCCTGTCCTCTTCTCTGGGGCTCAACTGTGGCTGTGCCATGAACCCCGCTCGTGACCTGAGCCCCAGGCTTTTCACTGCTTTGGCAGGGTGGGGGTTTGAGGTGTTCACGTAAGTACTAGCGAGGGCGACCGCGGGAGGAGGGGTGTGGGAGGGTGCAGTGATTGGAGATCTGGGGGGGAACATTAAAAGAGCAGAGCTTGATACACAGTGGTCAAGAGTGTGGAACACTCCGTTGGGGTTTTCTGGCACAATGTGGGTATATATGTGAAGAGAGGGAATGAGAGGAAGGGAGAGAGAGGGAGAGGAGGAAGAGAAGGAGGGAGAGGGAAGGCAGACAAAGGCTCTAGGTAAATTCAGTAGTGGTAGGTTTGTCTCCTGTAATAATCCCTAAATTGGCCTATGGCTTTATGTGCGCATTCTTGTTGTATTACTTGCCTGCTTTGTGTTGAAGTCAAGGACCAAAATTTACATCTTTATTGGGTACTCTCTGTTCTGTAGTGACTGTACTAAGCAAGGGAGTTTCAAAGACACTAGCCTTGAGCAATGTAAGAAGTTCTCTTTCAACCTTAAAAGTGCCGAAGGAATTGGCAGAACGGACTGACTAACTCTGCCAGGAAGGTTGGGAAAGACTGGTCTGAAGAAGTGAGAGCCGAGTTGGGTGTTGAGGTGTGAGGAGAAAATTCCCGACGGAACAGTCAGAAACACAGAGCCTGCTCCCGGGATGTGACGAGACCCGGCACTGTCTGCTTCAGAATGCAGTGGCTGTTGGCACCAAGCTCTGAGGACGAACTGTCCCATGACTCCCTCCTACTTTCTCTTCAGAAACCACAGGGCCCCATCCCCATTCGGGCATGTCCCCTCCCCTATGGGCAAGAGCAAGGAACTCAAATTGCTTCATCAAGAAACCAGGGATGAGGGCTGGGAAGGTGGCTCAGTGGTAGAGCGCTTGCCTTGCATGCCTGAGGCCCTGGGTTTGATTCCTCAGCACCACATAAGCAAAAAGAAA